TTTAGGGTTTAGGGTTTGGGGAGGAGCCTTGTTAGACCCGATGAAATCCTTGTAACCCCCTTGTACAACTTTATATTAAGAACCAATGTGTAAATCCGCTAATTCTGTTTTTCAAAGCAACCTCCGGAAACCCTTATATAAACCCCGATGGAAACCCGTATAAACGCGGTTGCAAAAACCGTATAAAACCCTAACAGAACACTACGACAACCCTTTAATCACGCTTGTAGAATCCTTATAACACTGCTACGCCACCCGCTCAGCAAACCCGAGAAAACCATGATATGAAAGACCTATGAGTCTATGAACACCCCGAATAAAGGCCCTCATAACCCCCTACCACTGAAGTATCTCCAAGCCATCTGAAAGCGAGCCGGCTGGGACGCCGCTATCTTCGAGGCGGCGCTGGAGCCGATCCAGCCCTTGGGTTGGGGTTTAGGGGTTGAGGGGGTTTAGGGGAGTTAGGGGGTTTAGGGGGTTTAGGCTCAAAGGTCTTTGGGGTGTAGGGGTTTGGGTTTGATTGAGGGTTTAGGTTTATAGGGTTTAGCGAGTTCAGGGGGTGGGCTTGGGGGTTTAGGGTTGTTCTAGTATTTAGGGCCCAAGGGCATGCAAGGTTCAGGGTTTGCTTTGTCTTTGGGGTTTAGGGCCCAAGGGTAATCAGGGCTTCATTTTGCGGATGTTGGGGCTTTGGGTTTAGGGGTTAAAGGTTCAGGGTTGCATGGCGCTTTGTTCTTGGGTTTCTCGGCGGACCAAATCGAAACTTCTGTTGGGTATCGCCCTGTGGCCGCTAGAGATCCCTAAACCATAAGCCCAAATTCCCTCAAGGAGCGGGGCTTCGGGCTTCTACTGCAACGGATGACCAGGCGGGACCCAACTTGCGCGTCTGCTCGGACTAATGCTGAGACAAGAACGGCACGAGCCTGAAGATACCGGAACATATCGAAACACATTGTCGACAAATTTCTGTTGCTGAAGAGTTCGTTACCTTGACAACAACACCAGGAAGCATAGCAGTGTTAATATCTCGAGAAGAACCACCATCACAATCACCACAACAAAACTTTTGTTGTGGTGGTTTAGGGATTCTAAGTGTCTTCTCTAATTTAAGTGTTACTTTAAGGGACGGGGTTTCTTTAAGGAATCAACGGTTTTTGCTGTTTTTTTGTATATGGGTATATTTTCACGAACGAGTGCCAAATGCAACCTGTGCCCAAAAAGTGTAAAGTGCACCCACACAACTAGTAAGAAAATCATAATACCAATAATGACAATTCTGTTCATGTGAATACTAAACCCCTCAACCCCTGAACCCTAAATAACTCCCAAAACGGTCACAATACCAGAGGCCAGGCCTTCGCCGCCTACCGCCTCCTCCATCTCAGCGCCAGGCCACGGCCAGAAGGGCAGGACAAGTTAGGGATACCAGTATGCCCTTTATTAAGGATATACAACTCTAAACCCTAAACTTAAACCCTAAACCCTATACCGTTCATGCTCTGTTGGGAAGGGGATCCTCTGAAGCAGCCTAGGGCACATGATCCCAGGCTTCACCCCGGGGCTGAAGAGCCTATGTTGTGTGATCTAGCTATTCAGCAACGTGTGTGTGTGTGTGGGGATTTTGCTGGATTTAGGGTGTAGGAACTTCGGCTTTAGAACGAAGGGGATTTGTAAGACTAGATGGGTCTGCATTACCAAAATGCTGCAATCCAGGCTTGATGTTGGAGACCATCCATGCTTTGACACGACCCAGAGAGAAAGACTACCACCATACAGAATGTGCAGCTTCCCACCCTCTCTTAGGGTCCCTAAACCCCTAAAACAAACCCCCCAAAAACCCTACACCCTATAAAACCCTAAAGCCCTAAACCCTATTTAGGGCTTTTGAAAGCTTTGGGGTTCTTGGAGACCGCAGCCCAGGCCCAACGGAGATGCTAAGGAGCCCGTATCGCCCGGGTTTTGTGTTGAGGGTTTAGGGTTTTGGCCACTGTAGCTGTGAGTACTACCGTTGGGAAGTAGTTCTCCTATTTCTGGGTAAGACTGCTTCCCAGGACCCTAAACCGACCCCAAACAAGTCCGGAGTTTCAGACACACCAAGGCGCCCAGATCCCAGACCCTTTGTAAACCAGAAAGACCCTAAGTAAACCTGAAGAAGAGTTCCCGACCAGCGGAAGCCCAACCAGAAGCTCTCGCTGATGCAAGCATGATTCGGGTTTGAGAAAGGCTATAGACAAAACGACATCGCCACGATCCTTTTTTCGCCGCCACTGCAGACTTCTAGGATGCCAGAAACCGGAGAGAGGCAATCGAAAGGCACCATCGCCACTGGGAGAGGAGATGGGTCTAAAAAGCGCTCCGATCCGATCAATCCTTTCCTTCCGCCTCCCTGGCTCTTGGTTTGGGGTTTAGGGTTTAGGGTTTAGGGTTTAGAAATTAGGGTTTCGCTCTCGCTCTCGCTCTCTCTGTCTCTCTATAAATTATTGTTTGGTCTGGCTCTCTCTGTGTCCTGTGTCAGCATACGTTTAGATAATAAAGACCTACAGAGGGACCAAACACATAGACAGATAGCTGGACAAGAAAATACAGGAGCGTGCAACTAGACCCCTAGATCGACAGCGTAGACAGGCCGACAGACAAGCTACTGTTCTCCGTATGTTTCCCTTTTGAGTTGAGGGTTAAAGCAGCTAGACCGTACACCAGTGATATCATGAACATCATACGCTTGTTTCTCGATCGTCGCCAACATAAACGTGTTGGCGCTTGCTAGTAACATCCTTACCCCCTGATTGAACCGTCGTATCAGTCCTTATAGTAACGAGAGAACACCGATGTTTGGAACCCTTGCCCCCACCCGTACCCCTGATAAACCACGGCAGTCTGCTTGCTGCAATTGTCGCCGTAGATTCGTTCAAAAGCTCCTTATCCCCGATGCTGTCAAGAAGAGTGCTTCGTAACTGTCTCGCTTAACCTTCCATCCCCTAGTTTTTCTAGGGTCCATTTGTGTAGTTCTCTAAATTAGGGTCCCTTTTGGGTCCCCCATATAGTACGGCACCCTAAAAAAGGACCCTAAAAGGGACCCTAATTTAGAAAACTACTCATATAGACTCCGTAGCAGGGACCTCAAGCCGAGCCCTCATCTGGAACAACCACCAGTACCAAGATGTCATAGGACTTAGACCCCAAACCACCGATATCATGATCTCACAAATCCCAAACCCTGAACCCCTCGACTGCCCCGTTGCGCATCGAGACGGCCACAAGTCGGCTCTGTCGGAAGACTCGGCATTTCAGCAATGCTTGCTTCGCGCGTTTTATGGTCGGTTATGGTTTCGGGGTCGGGCCTGGCACCCGTCATGCTGTAGAAGGAATCTCATAAGGTTCGGTTCACGAAGACTTTGCAGGCGTTTGATGCTAAAGTTTGTACTTCAATAGGTTCAGTGGAACTCAGAGGGCCCCGGGTTGGTCGGTTTAGGGCTTAGCTTAGTTTTAGGGTGTAGTGTTTAAGGTCTAGGGCTTGGGGTTTTGGGTTTTCATTGCAGCTAGATCTTAGGCCTCTAGGTTTAAACAAGCTGGGTTGCGTTGGCGTGTTATTGGGCTTTTCGCAGGTTTTGCAGTGATTTTTGTTTACAGAGTTTGGTATAGGGCTTCATAAGGACGCTGGCTAAGGAACTTAGTTTCGCTAACATCATGGCAATGAAAGCCGATACGTGTAGTATGGATCCCTAACTCCTAGCTGTTATGAGCAGTCACGCTAAGCTTCTGAACCCTAGACCCTAAAACCCGAAACCCTAAACCCTAAAAACCAAGAACACATAATTTCAGATCACATGCTGCTGAAAGCCGCACGGCTCGAATCGAGGAGCTTCTCATCTCAAGGGGATACCAAATTTGGGGTTTGGGTTCTGGGTTTAGGGTTTTGGGTTCTGGGTTTAGGGATTCGGGTGTAGGGTGCAGGGATTGCGGGATGTCCTTGTGGTGCTTACTCAAACGCGACGAGTAATATAGGGGCCTCAATAATTGGAATAAGATTTTTGGGATCTGATATTCTGTTGTTAGAATACGGAACCCCAAAATAGTATTGGTAATTGTTTAAGCCCTTCAAGTAGGTTCCAAGCTCCTCGTGATGATCCTCTTCAGAGGAGACGCACAAGTTGGAACAGTTCCCAGAAACACCTGGCACAAGCCCGAAGCATCCCCCGGAAAAGGCTTACTGACTTACACCTCGAGGCACCTCTTGTCTTGAGAAGCTCTCATGGGGCTTCAGAAGATATCGTCGTCGATCCACTTGCCCGATTTCACGAGCTCCGACCTGGATGGGCATTCAAGCGAAGGGCTTTGCGTTGAGATTGTCGATTTCGGATGTGAATTTGGGGTTGAGAACTGTCGGTAGTCCTGTCTGAAGTCGTAAGTCTAATAGCCTTTAAACGGCCCAGAACCTTCATCCAGAAAGCCTCCATTAAATGTGTTTTGGAAACGGGCTCTTTGCGAAGGATGGCATAAAAACAACACCGACCACGCACGTCATAAGCTACATGTCCTACAGCAACAGCTACGCAAGAAACGGTACTGCATGAAGTCTGAAGGTTTAGACCCTAAACCCCAAACCTTAAACCTTAAAACCCTAAACAGTAGACCGTAAACCGGCACTGACTCAGAGCCCGGAGTCCTCAAGTTCCCTAGTTTTCACACCTTACGTGTGGCCACCTATCTGAACCATGTGTGATCACAGGGCAGGCAAGTGCGAAAAGCAAGAAACCTTCTAGCATGCTGGCTAAATTATTATACAATATTATGCTATAAAAAACAATATAATATATTACAATATTATTATATATGATAGTATATTATATTCAAAGTATATTATGTTATATAATACAATACAATACTATATTATATTATATTATATTA